GATGATATGTCCAAGATACTGCCAATGATTTTGAAACCTAGGAAGTGAGCCTAGCTCATTTGGTTGGGGGAGTGGATGTACAACCCCTCCGCCTGGGTTCAAGCTCGCATATATGCAGATTTAGGTTCCTATTTATATTGTAGGCTGTAGGGGTCTACCTTACAATTTTCTTTCAGAAAGATGGTTTGGAACCTGTGCAACTATGATGTATAGATCATATGGGTAGTTCAATCTCATCTGAGAATTGCTTGGCTAAGGATATGTGGAACAAAAAGGTTGAGTGTTTGACTACACATTACTCAAAGCTGAATTAACACACTGTTCCTTTAATAATTTCACGGAGAAAAAAGAACCAGGTTGGGCGAGGTATTCAAGAAGGACGAAGGATGCATGTTTCCATAGATGCCTGGCGGTTCGGTTGATTTCTTGTGCTTACACGCGTGTCTTCTTCTCTACCCTAGGAATTGAATTCTTTCTTGTGCTGTTCCCCACCTGTTCCTTCTCTTGCTTGCATGCGTGCCTTCTTCTCTACCTTTTTCTTGTGTCTGTTAGGAGATAGATGTGCAGAGGGGCACGTGCTGATTATGAAAACATCTTGTTTCTTCCACAAACAGTAAATGGTGTGGCTATCCTGAATTAATGATCCTTGTTGTTGTTGCTTCCTTGCTGCTGCCATCTTTGGTCGATCTGGACATATCGACGATCATATGCTAACTGTCAACATAGATAATTATTATCACGAAATAATCTTTGTAGATAGTTTCGTGTGGTTAACAAATTTGAACTCCTTAAGTTAGTACCTACGGATGTGTACAAAATTACAGCTGATTGAGGAGGGGCCTGTTAAGTGTATCCATCTAACCATTTATTCATGAGGTAGTAGGCACCGACTTTTTTACACTCCCTCACCCCAATGTAAACACAGTAATACTGTTTTGCTATTAGATGCATATAGTTGTTTCGTTGGGAGTTACCTTTCTTCTTTTAAAACAGCGGGTGCACCTTTTTGGAGTGAGATGTGAATACTGATAGTGATTGACTGCCAGCTAAACCTTAAAACTGCAACACGCACATGCACATGGATTTGTGCCTGCTTAATTTATCTGGTGATACTTAGGTTGATTGCATCTTAATGTAATTTTATAGACTCATCTACCTTTTCTGAATCTTAGGTAATGTTTACATCATGTGATGATATGTCAAGGACATAACTATAAATTTTATGAGATATAGAAGCATCGTACTTACTATACATGTAGTTTATCGTTCCTTTGAGAGTTGCTAGGTTAAGAATATGTGGGGACAATAAGCTTGACTACGAATCCCTCAAAACTAGATTTGCACTGTTCAATTCATTGTGTTCTTATGGGGTTGCACACCGTTTTTTCTTCTCGATTTTGTACATGAGCAAATTTAGGTTAGATCCATTCCCCACAGGGAGATGTATTATGTACTCCTCAAAGAGAGAAACTACAAGCAGATAAAAGCCTCGTGCTAGGAGTAGGAGGTATTCATAAAGGTAGAAGGATCCATTGCCAAAGTATTTTGTTTCCAGAGATGGATTAGTCGTTCTGGAGTAGTTGATGGCATCCATACGGCATCAAGAATATGGTGTTTGTTCTACCCTAGGAGATGGATCCTTCCTGATGCATACACACACGCCTTGTTCTTATCCACCTTTTTGTTTGACCACTAGGGGTGTACTAGGAGCACGAGTTGATCAATGAATCATCTTGTTCCTTACACAAGCGGTCCAGAAAGCAGCCAATGCCGTGCCTATCTCGACTTCATGGTTTTGTTTGCTTTCCTGCTACTGCAATCTTTATTCAACGTGGACATAAGAATGATCACATGATAAAATGTGAATAGTTATTATCGCTGTACTACTTGTAAACAGTTCCGTGTGGTGAACAGATTCTTAGGATTAACAAATCCTACATGTTAGTCCTTGCGTACGTGCATGAAGTTTTAGCCGATTGAGAGGGTCTATAGAAAGTCTGTTGGTTGTATCCATCTAGATCATTATTAGTTTGCCGACTTAATATTTCCCATCCTATCCATGAATAGAGCTATGGTGCTGTAGTACTATTAGATGCATGCATTCCACTTTCATTGGAAATTAGCTTCTTGAAAACAGCTAGGTAGCATGTACTACCTTCTTGGAGTGAGACATGATACTGATAGTGACGGTTATCACAGACTGAGAGAAAACTGCATGCTTAGAAAGCGACTAACTTGGGATTTCCTTGGCTTCCTTCCTAGCCTGGCAATATTTTCTTGTGTACAAACACGAAACATGTTACATGGATTTGTGACTTTTGGTTGCATTTTTACAGGGATTGCATATGGGGGTTTCTCTTGTGTTTCTCAATTTAAGATTAGATCCTCAAAGGAGATACACACACCGACAGAAAGGAGCAACTTGAACTAGAAGCACAGAAAGCCTCTCACACACCAAGAGAAGAAAGAAGATAGATATATACTCAACAAAGGAAGAAGTTGGATTACCAATATAGTTTCTTTCCATTCCAGAGATGGATTGGTCGGTCTGGAAGAGCCAGTGGTGACCAACCATAGAGGCCCAAGAATATGTTCTAGCACTTACAGGCACGTCTTCTTGTCCATCTTTTAGGGGAGGATGGCCCGGTTTGGTTAGTGAAGAAACCATCGTGTTCCATGCACAAACGGCAAATGCCGGCCGTGCCTATCCCGAATTCATGATCTTTTCTGTTGCTTCTCTGTCGGTGCAATCTTCGGCCGATCTGTGCGAAGATGGACGGAGTTTTTGTCAAATGTCAACGTAAAATCGTTTTCAAATTGAATGAGCTGTTAATGTTCCTTGCAGAGGTGCGGAAAGGATCGGCCGGCCGGTGGAGGTGCTACGGAGCGAGGGAGGGAGATGTCGCTGTTGACTGTATCCATCTAGGGAAGCATTTATTTAGTAGTTGCCGACTGGCTTGCTTCAGATTCGAAACTGCTCAAGGTTCCTTCAGATTTCCCATCGAATCTGTAGGTGTAGGTAGAACTAGGGCTGTAGCCAGATATACTGTAGATAGATAGATGCATGTGTTGTTCATCGGAAAGTTGCTTTTCCTAGCTTGCCTAGGTAGCATCCACTGTTAGGAGTGGGCGTTGATAATGACGGTTTGTGCAACGCTGCAAGAAAGCTGCCGGCTGTAGAAAAACGATGGATCATCTCCTCTTAGAGATTTTAACAATGGACCGATCCGAATGGACGGCGTATTTGTCTGTTTTTTGTTCGTTTGAGTTGGCCGCCCGTCCGACGTCCATTCAATCTTGCATTTGGGTCGGCAGTGCGCCCAACGCGCCGACCCATTTCATGTCCGTACTAAACTTTTTTTTTAAAAAAAAAGGCCCATGGCTGATCATGCCAGCGGCCATGACTCATGTCGGCACCATGCCAGCGCCGGCATACAATGTCGGCTTTTAAAAATATCATCATAGTTTATGCTGACGCACTCGCCAGCCGACCGGTACACATGCCAGCACACAAAAAGATGAGACTTGAGTTCGACCACGCCATCGCGGCCCCGTGGTCATGCCAGCACACAAGCCGTCATAGAAAAAGGAAGGTGCTCGCGGCCACGAGATCACTCGTCGGTGGACTTGAGCATGTTGGCCTGCATCTTCTCGAACCATGGCCTCTTCTTTGGCGACATGGTGTTGAGATCCACCTTCATGATCTCCACCCCGGTCATCATGCTCACGAGCGCCACTTCTTTCGCCTTGGTCGTTGGCGGCTTCGATCTCTAGCATCTTGGCTTGCATCTCCGCGTCCATCTCAAACTGCTTGGCTTGCATCTCCGCGTCCATCTCAAGCCTCCTCCTTTGGATCTCCATGAAGGCATTCATTTGCTC